AGAGCAGCCAGCACTGCGGGCCGCCTCCTGCGTCCGGCCGCTGACTGTGAAATGTTTATTGCTCCTGTAATATGTCAGGCGAAGTTGAAAACTGGAAAAGTCAACCCTATGGAGATAATAACCACACATTAGAAGTAAAGAAATTATTCCCCAGGCTTTGAATGTAGCCATTTAAAAAAAAATCTGACTAGCAAAAAGCGGTACACGGTGGTAATTTTCATTTGTATTTCTTTGATTGCTAGGATAGCACACTATTTTTTATTGGTATTTGCATTTTTGTGTATCGCCTGTCCGTTTCATCCTTCCAGTTGGGCGGGGCGGGGGAGTGTTTCTGGGGAACAGGAACTTGTAACAGTATTTAACTTTAAAATATATGTGTTTAGAAACCCTTTGCCAGTCGTCCTCTGAGGCAGGAAGCTTTTCGGAGAAACAGTAGTAGCCGACCTTGAGCCTGGAGTGTGAGTGAGCTCGGTTCAAACCCTGAGCCAGCAGGTGTTGGCTATGGTACCTGAGCCTCAGTTTCCTGGTCAGTAAAATGAAAATAACAGAATCTATGTCCTAGGGGTTGTAAGGCTCAAATGAAGACCCTGTGTTAAATCCTCAGCGCCCAGGAAGGCCAGGACCGCATGGTGCGCCCTGAATCCGGCGGTGGGAGTCGTGCCTGGGGAGAACCTCTGCAGCAAGAATCTGACGGTTATTCGGTATTAACTGGAGCAGAAAGTAAGAAGGATCTTCATGCCAGACAGGCTTGATGGCAGGAGCCGCAGCGGCAGGCGCCTGCGGGGAGGAAGGCTCCGTGGCTGGTCTCTAGGTCCAAACTTCTGGAGCCACCGACCCACCGAGGCCCAGGTGTTGGGTCTCAGCCAGAGCTGGTGGACTTCTCCGACGTGAAGCGCTGAAGCTGCAAGGTCCCCCAGACTCTTGGAGAGACTGACCTGCGGCCCCCCCTGGACTGGGCCTTGGCTGGCCTGCGGGTCAGGGTGGAAAGCCCAACCTTTCCAGTCCTGGGCATTGGAATGGACTCTTGCATCATCCCAATGCCCAGGGCCCAGGGCTGTGATTGGGATGACACAGGAGGCACACAGGCCTGGCACTGTGCAGACTCGGACTTCTCCTCCCCCTTGGTGGTAGATCCCTACATGATGGGGTGCATAGTGTGTGCCAATATGCCGAGTGACCTCTAAGCCATGGGCATGACTGAACGTGACATGTTGCTGTGACTCAGCATCTGCCGGAATATGACTGAGGAGCAAGGAGAAAAGATAACCCCGCTCATGATCAAAGGCTTTCAGGATGCTGCTGAGGAAGGCGGACAAGCCGTGGAAAAGCCTGGGATTGTCGTGGGTGGGGTTGCCACTTTGGTATGTCAGCCCAGTGAATGCATAATGCCTGACAGTTGTTGGGGATGTGCTGCTGTTAACAAACCCTTAGGAACCCAAGTTGCTGGCAGTGCCTGCCAACGGCTGGATAACCCTGAAAGATGGAGTAAGAGAAAGATAGTGGTCTCCAGAGAAGAGGTGGAGCTGGCTTCTCAGGAAACAGAACTGCTGTGTTAAATGGGTTAATGCACACATTGAATGCCCCTGTCACAGGCCTTGGCATTCTAGGGCACTCGCAGAACCCTGCGAAGCAATGGCTCCAGCCCGTTTGGCTCGGTGGATAGAGTGTCGGCCCGAGGGCTGAAGGGTCCTGAGTTCGATTCCGGGCAAGGGCACATACCTCGGTTGCTGGCTTGATCCCAGGTCCTTGTTGGGCCATGCAGGAGGCAACCAATCGATGTGTCTCTCTCAGACACATCCATGTTTCTCTCTCTCTGTCTCTCCTCTTCCCTTCCACTCTCTCTAAGAATCAGTGGAAAACTATCCTTAGGTGAGGATTAACAACAACAACAACAAAAAAAAAACCCCAACAATCTGGCAAAACAATGGAATTCCTTTATTATACATAATCTGCCAATCATTGCCAAGATGGTTGCCATCAGCAAGGCCAGTGGGCACTTTGGATTCCTTCAAGGAACCTCAACAAAACTTCTGGGCATTTACTGATCTGTCTTCCCAGGGAACAGGCTGCTCGCTTTTTTTCTGAAATAAAATCTTTCAAGTATGGAGAGGGTCACCAAGCATGGACTGTTGGTCGGCGTGGTGGAAAAGGCCACCCGGACAGCCCTGATCACTGACAAGCCTTGAGTTACTGAGTTTCGACCTCCTGGGCCACAGTTGCTGCTCTTGCTCCAGGCAATTCCAATGCCGCCTCTGAGTCTAGCTCTGGAGATAGAAGAGCAGAAGTCGTTTGGACCTTAGGGCCTTTGTACACAATCCCGGACGACTCTCGGGAGTTGATTTTAAGAATAAATAGCTGCCCGCATAGCAGTTCCACAGCTGCTCCTTCTAGATGATTTGAATCAGCCCATCAAAAGCTGCACATTCCAAGGTCAGAAATAACATGTTGGACTTCAGGGGGAGGTTTGTTCAACTCTTGCCTAGAAGAGGAGCAGAAAAGCCTGCTTCCTCTTGCCAAGAGCAAGATGAGGCCATTCCGGTGTGAGGGGTTTTTCTTGGCACTGAGTCATTCCTTTCTGCACAGGGAGTGGGATTATTTATTAAAATTACATACCAAAGCGCCGGCCGGTGTGCTCAGTGGTTAGAGGGTCAGCCCATGCACCGAAGGGTTGCAGGTTTGATTCCGGGTCAAGGGGACATGTACCTTGGTTGCAGGTTTGATGCCCCGCACAGGTTGATAGGTTGTGGGTGTGCGAGAGGCAACCAAACGATGTGTCTCTCTCTTCTCTCTCTCTCTCTCTCTCTCTCTCTCTCTCTCTCTCTCTCTCTCCCCCTTCCTTCTCCATCCCTCCCTTCCATTCCCTCTAAAAAGCAATAGAAAAAATATTCTTGGGTGAGGATTAACAAAACAAAACAAAAAATTACATACATACCAAAAAAGTAAATTGCAAAAAGAAAATTAGATCAGAAGCAAATAAGTTTGGACCAATACTGCCGATAAAATGTAAATTGTTAAGAGACATGTTAAAATGCAATGTCAGGT